CCCCTCGAGAGGGTGTATCCAAGCGGAGATGTGAGTGCCTCAAAGTGGACTTCTTCTTCAAAATAAGTGAATTTTTGCAGACTCACAAAACAGACGATAACTCGTTGGAAAAGATGCAGAAGAAGGTGGATCACGTCAATAAGGAAAAGAAAAAGGTATGATGCTCAGCAAAACAGTAAAAAACTCAGATGCAGTTTTTATAGGTCGAAAATGTCAAAGGAATGGTCGGTAAAGCGTTGCACCATGAATCCAGTCACACCAAATCGGAATAGTGAAAGCTATCATGGTGATAGCGGGTAGTGACTGCTAGTATCAGAGAAAGTGTCAGAGTGCCAACAAATGTTGCTATGTAGCCTTTTTCTCATATTGCATTCGTTTTATTTTTCTGTTTTTATGATTTTTAGTTATTACTGCTTATTGTTCCTTTTTTTGCTCCTTCCAAGTATGTACTATAGACATCAGCACGCGCAGAGACTGGTCGCAGTTTGCGTCTGACAAAGTTACGTGTTTAAGAAAGCAAGCGAACGGTGAGAGAGGTGAGAGTGCGCTTGATTCGAGAGACTCCGACAAGTCCGCAATGGCGCCCTGTCTCTGCGTACGATGACTCGGCCGTACATGTTTTGCACTCAAACAATTTCCCCAGTGCCTGATCAATGGATTCTACACAATAAATATTCTGAAAACAGTAGCGAATTATGCTGTCATTGTGACCGGTGATTATACAATCAGACCAGTGAAAGTAGTGTAAGTTTGGTGTGCTCTATCTCACGAAAATCTGCCTCCAATGCAATCTATGCGCTGGATTTCTTATGAACATAATGCAGAGAAATCTTACACTCCGTAATCGATTTTTTCCTGAAGATTATCATGTGTAGTCATAAAACTACGTCATTGTTCTCGCACAAGTGAGACGTTGCAACAAGAAGCATACCATCAAGCCCAGAAGGATGCGATTTTCAGTCAACTTTGATCAGGATTTTATAGCGTCGAGATATGGGTCCCGCAGAGTTTTTAGACCCCACAGATGGCTTAGAGGGTCATAGTGGTAATATCAAAAAAAATCCAGG